AATATTTATCTAACATTTATGTTTTAAAATTTGAATAATTAATTTTTAATCATAAATTTTAAATTAATTATAAATTTAAAGTCATATAAAAATATAAAAAAATAAAATAAAAGTTATAAAAAAAATAAATAATGTCTTTTTCAATCATTTTAACATTAAAAGATTTCTTATAAAAAAATTTACCAAATAACTTTTTATTTTAGAAGTATTTCTTCAAAAAATTTTATCAAACACTTTTAATTTTTAAAAAATAGCCCTTCTATAAGAGATTCTTTCTGACCGAACTTATATTATAAAAAGCTGCAACCAAAAAGCTCCAACCACGCAAACAGGCTCTTAACATGATTCATAACGGGCTAACCCAGAATCTCGAACCTCAAAAAAGGCCCGAGCGACCAACGACGTCTATACGCACGGAACATATCTCAAAAGGGCCCGATCGCCCCCATTCAAAATTCTCTTCCTCTTTCTTTCCTCCCCACGGAGCATCTCGATTCACTCTTGAGCTGAATCGCCGTCGCGCCGGAGTTCATCCGCGACATTTCTTGCTATGGTACGCCATTTGAGCTCTTTGTTTTCATCAATTTCCATTTTTTGGGAGAAATTTTCCATCTTTGTATAGCTGTGCATTAATATTTGGTTAATTATTGATTTTAATCTGTATTATCAGAGAACTCAGTTTATGATTGATAGTGAAATGTTGTTATTTAGAGTTTGATCTATTTAGTTGTTGTTTTCCTGTGATATCTTTCGTTTGATTGCCGAGAAAGTAGTGAGAAAATAAGAAAGAAAGAAACGAAAATTTTGTTTTCTATGGTATATCTTAGGCTGATTGGAGCTTGATCGTTGTTTTTGGTGTGAGGAAATGAATGCTTTGATTTGGTGGTCATGAGTTTTCAAACATGTCTTGCTCACTAAACTATCTTAGGTAAAATAGAAATGCTGGTTTTAGGGCTTGGAATTCACATAAGACCACTTGCTTCATTTGAATTAGATGCCGTGATGGATATGAGATTTGAGGAAAAAACATTTAACTTTTAATTTGCATAAACTGAGTTAATTTTATAAGAATGTACAGTAAAGTGAAAGTAAGATTGCCAAAACCCGATTTTGCCTTGGATTAGCTACTCTACAATGTTGATTTTTCTTTATTGGGTTATATTTTGATTTTTTATGGGTTAAGTGGAGTTGATTCTGCCAACTTATTGATTTCACAATTGGTCTGCTGGATGGTTTTCTCCATTTCAGTTGGTCTCATTATTTCAGGACTGTCTGCATACATGTTCCTGGGGTTTTAATCAGATCGTGTATGCATCTGAATTTTCCTTTTGATCATTATATTGTTATTGCATAGGCACCCATCAAGGCCATTTTCTCTCTGCAAAGGACAGCTTTGAGGGCATGCAACAGTGAGAGTTGGGGTATACGTGTCAGATCATTCAGCACTCAAGGTGCAACAACTGCTAGTACTCCACAGCCTCCTCCACCTCCTCCACCTCCAGAGAAAACCCACTTTGGGGATCTAAAAGATGAAGATCGGATATTCACCAACTTGTATGGGTTGCATGACCGATTCCTTAAAGGTGCCATGAAGCGGGGCGACTGGTATAGAACCAAGGACTTGGTACTCAAGGGTTCTGATTGGATTGTCAATGAAATCAAGAAGTCTGGTCTACGAGGACGTGGTGGTGCTGGTTTTCCATCTGGCCTTAAATGGTCCTTCATGCCGAAAGTATCTGATGGCCGCCCTTCCTATCTTGTTGTCAATGCTGATGAAAGTGAACCTGGAACATGTAAGGACAGGGAGATCATGAGGCACGATCCGCATAAACTATTGGAGGGATGTTTGATTGCTGGCGTAGGAATGAGGGCTAGTGCTGCTTATATCTACATACGAGGTGAATATGTAAATGAACGTAAGGCCCTTGAAAAGGCGAGAAAAGAAGCTTATGAAGCTGGACTGTTGGGAAAGAATGCATGTGGATCAGGTTATGATTTTGATGTTCATATCCACTATGGTGCTGGTGCTTATATTTGTGGGGAAGAGACAGCTCTTTTGGAGAGCCTTGAAGGGAAACAAGGAAAGCCAAGATTGAAGCCTCCTTTCCCTGCTAATGCTGGATTGTATGGCTGTCCCACCACTGTCACTAACGTGGAAACTGTGGCTGTTTCACCCACAATTTTAAGGCGTGGACCAGAGTGGTTTGCTAGTTTTGGGAGGAAGAATAATTCTGGGACAAAATTGTTTTGCATATCAGGTCATGTGAATAAGCCCTGCACGGTGGAGGAGGAGATGAGTATACCACTTAAGGAGTTGATAGAGAGGCACTGTGGAGGTGTAAGAGGTGGATGGGATAATTTACTTGCAGTTATACCAGGTGGTTCATCTGTCCCCCTTATTCCCAAGAACGTATGTGATGATGTGCTGATGGATTATGATGCACTAAAGGCTGTGCAGTCAGGACTGGGGACTGCTGCTGTGATTGTGATGGATAAATCAACTGATGTTGTAGATGCAATTGCAAGGCTCTCTTACTTCTACAAGCACGAAAGCTGTGGGCAGTGCACACCATGCAGGGAAGGCACAGGGTGGTTATGGATGATCATGGAGAGATTGAAAGTTGGTAATGCAAAGTTGGAAGAGATTGATATGCTTCAGGAGGTCACAAAGCAGATTGAGGGGCACACAATCTGTGCTTTGGGTGATGCAGCAGCTTGGCCTGTGCAGGGTCTTATTAGGCATTTCAGGCCAGAGCTTGAGAGAAGGATCAGAGAGCGTGCAGAGAAGGAGTTGCTGGAGGCTTCTGCTTAGGTTTCTATATATAACTCAGGTTGCTTCTTGTGCCTTTTTGCCTTTTGTTTTATGTATCTTTCTAACAAATAATGAAGTTGTACCTGCATATCCCAACCTTATTTGGTTTGCAGGGAAAGGCACGGGGAATGTTGCCCGTTTTATTTTAGTTTGGTTTTTTGTTTTTTTTGGTAAATCCGTTAGTTGATTGGGAATATTGCTCTGATGAGGCAGTATATCCTTATTATGATTAATGTCTTGTTCTGCTTAGACTTGGTACCTCAGAACAAAATGGATAACAATGAAATGATGATTTTATTCTTTTGTATTCAATTCTGCTGTGATACTAACGATAAATGTCTTCAGATATTTGATTGGTTGTCTTATTCCGTGCAGGGAGTTTCCCATGCTAGTTGCTATTCTGAATAAAATTTTTGTAACCAAAACTTGGAGGATACGAGACACAACCATCTGCGAATCTGTTAGTTTTCTGTTTCCCCTTTCAAGATACATTACCAATGACTGTTTTCCATTGTGGAAATAATAAATATGTTTTATGTCTAGGCAAAAATGATATATATACTTGAGCCATTTCTTCATGTTTCCCGGAGGACATAAATCATCTTAGGCTCCTTTGGTGGGCATTAGAGCCTGTTTAGTGTGGCTTGTGGGAGCTTTTGCTTTTTGAGTACTGTTATGAGTGATAAGTTTAAATTTTTATTGGAGGGAAAATAGAGTTTTAGCTTTTAGAAAAGTGAAAAAATGAGCGAAAAGCAAGTAAAAAGGGAGTTTATGAAAAGTTTGGATTTGAAACTTTTGAACTTTTACTGTTTAAGAGCATTTTAAGGTTAAAAAAATATTTAAAAGTGTAAGTTTTTAGGAGAGAAATTTAAATTCATAAAACATTAATAGTGTTCAAAAACTGAAGCTCTCACAATCTGCACCAAACATGCGTTATTTTGACCCTTCTAATGAACTTTACGTTTTATCTAGAAAAAGTGTGAAACCTAGGTTTGGTGAACTTTAGGTTTTCTTTAGTATATGAGGGAATTGAAGCTCGCATTTCCACTTCTTGAACTCTCAAGATTCTCGCATTCTGTCTCTCCATCTTTTCTCTCAACCAATACTTATCCTCGTTTATACTACCACTCAAAATTTGGAAGAGAATCAGCCCATCTCGATAAACATAGAGCGTAGACATCCCACACTGTTAAAGTTCTTAGTGCAATAACAATATAATGCTTTCCTAGAAATCAAGTACAAGCTCTGACTAAATTGAGAACTAAAATATCATTGGGACGCCAAAATTTCATCTAATTCATATCAAAATCCCGACAATAGCAACAAGAATATGGGAGAAAATGAATCAAAAAAAAGAAAAAAAAGAAAAAAAAAGAGGAAAAGACAGCAGAAATTGACATTCAAAAATATCATAATATCATACATAGGAAATAACACCACTCTAGTTAATTAACACATGACATCAAGTGCCAAAAACAAATATCTTAGTAATAATCTCGAGTTTGAGTTATATTATATACAGAGAGTGGATAACAAATAATAAAAGATTGTTTCCAACCATATAACTTAATATTAATAAAAAAAAAAAGAGATTCACGCAAAAACACAAACACCAAGTGATTTAGAGAGAATATTTAATTGAAAATTCAATAACATATAACAAGTTGAATGGGGTGAAAATGAAAACACACAAGAGATTCATCAATTTGTATTCACAAATTCATCGGTAGTTTATCTCTCCAAGAACAAAGCTCTTATTCACAAATGAAGCCAGCTTAATTTCACTTCATCCTTGATGTCATCAAGCCTCATGTTTCCTACAAACACCTTTTTCTTTCTTTTTTTTTCTTTTCATCATTTATGTATCAATACTTGTTTCCTCAGAGAATCAAAAATTGTAAATGATTTACCTTTGGGAAGTAATTGATCAACCAAACCAAGTGTGTCTCAGCAGACTTAACCAGCTGCAAAAAATATGTACATATAATCAGACGATACAAGTTTTGTTTCCTAAAAGAAGACAGATGATGTAAGTTTGTGTGTGTGTTTTAATAGAAAATCGTAATTTTATTACAAAGATCAAAACAGATACAATTCTCTTGCCATATAGGCTAAATAGAAAAAGTAAAAACGAGAGAAAGGTCCTATAGAACTAATACAAAGAGATGGTATTCATGACATGTATGAACAATTAACTGCAGAGGGCTCCAAAATATCAGCATTTGCCATAGGATTTCAATAGGGTTATGTAATATTCTTTTCCGTATATTAAGGCTGTGTTTGGGATTACTCCACGCAACATTTTTTTGCACAAAACATTAAGTTAAATCTATTATAATTAATATTTGTATATTTTAATAATTATACATGTATAACACTTTTGCAATGTAACTATCAGACACTAAATTTTTGCAATAGTATAATAAATGAAAAGCCAAATATAATATTACACAGTAATTCCAAACATAGCCTAAATTCAAGGATGCGAACTACAAGATGGATTCAAAGATCATACCTATCTCCGGTAGGCTGTATCGATTACTTGTTCTGATCTGCGAGAGGAAGGATAGTTTTACTCCAGAGAGTGGGTTGAATAATCTGATTATGTTATCTGTGTCCAAGGTCTGCTCCCTGCTGGTTACCAAGACTTCCTTCATGTGTGTCTTATTTTCAAACTTGGCTCTCCTAACCTCTCCATCATTGACTGCTCTTCCTTTCAGTCCCACCCAAAGTTCCTGAAGGTGGTTCAAGTTTTCCAGGTCCCCAAGACTGAATTCCTTTCGGTGATTTCTATCCACTCTGAGACTGATCCCACATAATTGCTTCAGATTTGTCAATCTCCCAGCTGATTTGGGGTAGCAACGTAATCTGTTGCAACCATAAGTCTCAAGATATAACAAGTTGATCAATTTTCCAATCCCATCTGGTAATTTCTCAAGAAGAATGCAGTGGTTGAGATTCAAATATTGAAGATTATGCAATTCGCACATTGATTCGGGTAATCTTTTTATTTTCTCATTTCCATTCAAGTTAAGGTGCCTCAAATGGATCAAATTTCCTAGTTCTTTAGGAATTGTATCCTTAATAATATTACTCCAACCAAAATCCACTGTTCTTAGCAGTTTTGCTTGTTTGAAAATGGTGCGCAGAGCTTCATAGGTGACTGTGTTTTCTTCAGAAATGATCACGAAGCTGCGCAACTTTTCAGCACCATAAATGGAAGTAGGAAGACACTTCCCCTCTGCTGTCAATGCTGTGAGATGACGAGCCCTTTTGAAAGACAAATCTATCATAGAATTACTACCTGACTTTACCTCCTCAATCACAATTTCATAACTGCTCGTCAAAAATTGGACAAAGTCATGAACAATCTCATGCATCTTCCACGTGGAAATTAGACCATGTTTTTGCATCACAAAATCTTGGAAGAGAGCGAGCAGCTAGGAAATCAAGATACTCTCTCCCTTTTAATTCCAAATCTTGATCACCATCCAACCCCAAATAACCTTGAGCCATCCAGTGGTATATTATATTGTCTCTACGGTACACATGACCTTCTGGGAAAGTAGCACAATACCTGAAACACTGTCTTATTGATGAAGGCAAATCATAATAACTCAACAATAAAGGAGCAAAAATCTCTTTCTCTGCAATGTCTAGTTTCCATATTTCACTGTTCAAGATGTTTTCCCGCTCTTGTCCATAACGTTTAGATCCTAGAAGGCTTCCTAGAGTTTTTACCGCAAGTGGCAAGCCTTTGCACCTCTTTGAAATTTTCTTCCCAACATCCTCCAAATTCTCACACTCTTTCTCATTCCTTCCAGCCAATGCTAATTCACTGAGTATCATCCAACAACGGTCATCAGATAGCTTTTCCAAGGGCAAGACATGAGAGTACTTCATCAGTTTTCTCATCAGATTTGCTACAGTCTCCTTTCTAGTGGTTAATAAAATCCTGCTCCCTGGAGCACCATGTTTGAAAGTCTGGATTAGTCTTTCCCAATTTTGCCTCTTCTCTGCCCACACATCATCCAATACAAGAAAGAACCTTTTTCCTTTGATAGATCTGCAAATCCTTTCAAAAGATGTTGCAGTTGAAATGAATCATATGCTCTACTATTCTCGACGCCTTCAAGACCCAAAATGATTGCTTTGGCAACATTTTTCTCGTCAATAAAATCTGTGACACATACCCATATTCTATTATCAAAGTGTTGCTCAACTCGACCATCATGATAGATAATTTGAGCCAGAGCTGTCTTCCCTACCCCACTCATACCCACAACAGAGATGGTTTTAATATCACTCCCTTCTTCACTAGATCCACACAACAAACTGCTTATAATGTCTTCCTTAACCTTCTCTCGACCAAATAACTGTGACACATCTGCAAAAGATGTACTTTCTCCCCGTCCAATATTTTCTGTGGCGGGCCTTGCTGCTAATTGATACCTATTTTTCTCCTCAGCAATCGCATCTAGTCTTCTACTGATTTCCCTTATTTCGGAACCAATGTCATAGCGGTTAACAACCTGGACTTTATGTAAACAGCGGGCAAGGCAGGAACATACCTTCGCCTTGAGATTACAAGTTTCTCCATCCCCCGTTATCTGCAACTTCTGGAGTGCAGTGTTCCACTTATCTAATACATCCTCCATGTCATAAGCTGCTTCTGTTAGCCGAACCATCCAAAGTTTGATACTACCGTCTGGAATTTGCTTTTCCTCCGCATCCTCAAGGACAGCGTGGATGGCTTGAAGGTTGTGTCCGAGCCTTTCGACTTCTTCTTCAACGTCTGTCACCAGCCTCACCGTTTGCTTTGCTTCTTTGGCAGCGATTGTTGTTAGTAGCCCCAGGATTGAAGAAACCAGTGCTTCCGCCATTTCCAGACGGCTGCCTGAATCCGGCTGGCTGATATGATCACCACGGCTTTTGAGTGGATAAATGTTGAAGAGAGAGATGTGGATTGGTCAAAGAAGGCGGGCAGATTGAATCAGTCGTAAATTAGCTTCGAGCTCAACGTAATAGTCACACGCGGCCAATGGTGTCGACAGTGTTTATGGTGTCAAGCAAGTTTGAGGACGGCAGAAATGGTTAAAATTTAATTTAATTATTAAAATAATTAATAATTAATATTTATTATTTGATAAATTAAAATTTATTTATAAATAAATAATTTTAAATATTATAATTAATTATTTTTATAAAAAATTATATATTAATAAAATATTAAACAAACAGTGTAATGCTAATAAATTTAGGTTTGACATGACACAGTCACTGAGAGGACGAGTAGTTGCGCATTGCAGGTTGAATCAATTGTTTTTCTTTTTTTTTTAACAGGTTTATCGGTTTATGACTTTAGAGTGGGATACCAAAATCAATTTTTAAATTAAATATAGGTTGATTTATAATAGTTAAATCATAACACCGAGATGTGCACTTGATCTTTCGAATCAATTAACAGCTTATCAACTTGAAGTGCATTTTTCATCTTCCAAGAATGGGTTTCAAACTCACCCCTTGACAACTTATTTCAAAAAAAAAAATTCCGCTAACACCGAGATGAAGATTGAATCAATTGTAAGTTAGTTTGAGGCCTAGTGGAATAGTGGCATGACATGCAACAAATGTTGTCAAGGGAAATATTTTAGCTACCTTGAACTCGGTTCTGATTTATTTTTAAAAAATAAAAAGTGAAATAGAAAGTAGAAAACGAAGTGCTTACCAATTCAAACTCACACCAAATGCATATTATATTCTTTGTATTGGTAATAGGATTTTTTAAATATATATTTAAAGGGTATAAATTAAAAATAAAATAAATATATATTTTTAATATAAATTTATATTAAAAATAAAAATTAATTTTTAATTTATTAATTATTAAATTAAATTTATTTATTTGATATTAATATTAAAATTAATATTAATTTTTATATTTTTTATATATATTTATAATAAAACAATATTTTTAACTTATAATTTTAAAGTATAAATTAGAAAAATCATTATTAATATTCTGTGTATTAATTTTGTTATTAGCCTAATAATATAGAACAATACCATAAACCATCCCAATTGAAATATATATTTATATAAATTAAATATTTAATTAGTTTTCGACTACATGCACTTAGACTTCATGCTTCAATAATTATAAACTTACTTGTAAGATGCATCTCTCAATTGGAGGACTAGGATTTGAGTTCTCACCCCCAAAATTGTAAACTTGATAAAAAAAAAAAAGTTTTGGGCTGCATCTCATGCGGCAAAACTAGTTAATAAGGAGTCCAACTTTTACGGTTTTACACAAAAAGAGTCAAACTTTTAATTTTCTTTGTCATTTAGTCAAAATTTGCATTTTTTTTTTCCATCCTAGGGAGTAATTGGATGTCAAATGCTGATCTGGTAAACGGAGATAATTAACGGATCTCGCACTTGGATGACGTGTTAAAAAACTCAAAAAATCTAATGGCAAGAAAACCCTACACTGGATAAAAAAAGGGTAAAGATCGGTGATAGAGTAGACGATCTGGGTATTCCATTTCTGTGCTAACTAGGTAAAGCTAAGATCAATAATGGAGTAAAATCCAGCACTGATGATGTCGATTTGATTAGTCAATTCTAGACTTTTAGAGATTTTCTAGTGTTTTGATATAGTTTGTTTGTTATTTTATTTTATTTTATTTTGGGTTGCCTAATCAATTCTTTTTTACCTCTTAATCCACTCTATTAACATGTTATGTGATTTAAAATTTAATTTTTTTATTTTTAAGAAAAAAAATTATTACTAAACTATTTAGATCGTTAATTTGTTTTTGACATTTTTTTATTATTAACTCAAACTTCGTTTAGGAGTACTTTATATAGTATTTTTCTTTGTATCTAAAAATATAAATTTATTATAAATAATTAATTTTAATTATTATTTTATATGTTTTTAATAATTTTAATTAATATTTTATATATTTTTACAAGAATAAAAAATTAGAAAGCAAAATACCAAAGTCTAAGATAAAATACAGTAGTAAAAACAGATTTACCTCAAACAAAAAATAAAAATAAATCTACTAAAAAAGTTTTCAATTTTGACAAACAACCCATTATTTATTTGACATGTCATATTATGTCATCTTCCCGTTAATGACTCACTTAGTCAAACATTTTAAAAACCATGGAGTCTTTTTTGCTTGCGTATGTTGATCTAGACCCATTCTTGTACACTTCAATCCTACATGGCAACTTCCCTCCTTTTACCACATACAAATCAGATGTGCCCTATTAATTCCCCCCAGAAAATCCCTGAATAAATTTGTATCTTCCCCTTCCGTACCTTGGTCTTCTCTTGAAATCGTGGGTTAGGGTTTTAGAAGAAAAAAGGCAATGTAAGCACCCATGCACTTTATTAAAACCCTAACCCACCCACAAATTTCTATAGAGAAAAAAGACATCAAAAGCACTACTTACCATCTCCTCATCCTGATCACCAAAGCACTTTATCTACCCAACAAGGTTTCCTCCTTTGATTTCAACTTTGAGATTTGACAAGTAATGTCGCATCCCTCCAACAATCGATCAAGAGATTCTCCCAATATTATCGCAATGACTTGAGATGGGAGAATTGTGGGATTTAAATATGTTAGGGTTAGAGATTTCCTTTTTTTAATCTTTAATCTAACTAATAAAATGAGAAGTTAGGTTTTAGACAAATTTCGAAATAGGGATTTTAGGAATTTTCTAGGGGGATTAGTGGGACCCAGCTAATTTGTATGTGGTAAAATGGAGAAATTGCCACATAGGATTAAAATGAGTGAAAATGGGTCTAGGTTAGCATACATGCAAGTAAAAAAGACTCCACCTCGTTTAAAATGTCATAATAGGCAAACCATTAACAAGAAGATGACATGTGGCACATCAAATAATGAGTTATTTATTCAAGTAGAAAATCTTATAGGCAAATTTGTTTCTCTTTTTTATTAAGGGCAAATCCATCCCTACTGCTATATTTTGCAGATGAATATTTTGTGTGGAAGGAAAATATTTATTTTTTAAGGATTGATGAATAAGCTATTGTTCCGTTTTCCTGTTACATATGTGCATTGAATATTTTTTTTCTTAGTAAATAAATAAAGACTTTCTCCCTAAAAACAAAAAAAAAACACACTTATAACCTACTTTGTTTGAGGAAACCCAAGAAATGGAAGGGGAGGGAAAGTGGAGTTCTTTTAACTAATTCAATTAAGTAGTTAGACCAACAAAATAATTTGATTGCTTATAATAACTTTAACTACCCTCCCTTTCCCTTTCCCTTTCCCTTTCCCTTTCCTCAAACCAAAGAGGCTATTAAAAAACCCAAGGTTTTTAAAACCGGACCGGACCGGCCGGTTGAACCGGTCGGACCGGTACCTGGTGATGAGAACGGTTCGGTTCGCATAAAAAAACCGTTTGAGGTCAAAACCGGTCAAAAACCGGTAAAAACCGGTAAAAAATGGTGAAAACCGGTGAAAACCGGTAAAAACCGATAAAACCAATAAAACCGGTGGAACCAAAAAAACTACCGGTTCAATTTCTCATGCAATCTTCTTTCAATTTTTTCCAATTTTACCTTTCCCATTCCTTTTTTATACCCATTTTAACCTTTAACTTTAATAAAATTACAAAATTATCAACACCAAATTAAAAAATCCATGCCTATAGCTTACTCCTCTCATCAAACCTTCTTTATTGTTTGGACCGGCTGGTTCACCGGTTCAACCGGTTGAACCGGTCAAACCGGAAACCGGACCTGAAAACGGTTCAATGACCGGTCCGGTTTTGAAAACATTGAAAGAACCTGTATAACACCTTCCAATAGGAGAGAAGTGGTGAAAAGAGAGTGCAGGAGGAGCACTTCTTTTCTAATCATTTCATCTCATTTACGCAAGAATCTGAATTAGATCATTTCCATTCCATGAAATGACTTTGGAAATTTAAAGCGAGATGAAATCTTTACATCCATGAACCATTGCGGTTCAGAATTTTGGACACGATCATAATGCAAATATCCAATTCATCAAATATTTACAATTCAGAATTCCCATCACAACTATTGCAGCTATCACCAGTCATCTTTTTGTATACCTGCCAATACCAGCACAGAATCATCATTGGTATCATGTTGTAAACGAGTCAAAATCTACATACAAATGGGCTGAATATTGCCAGATAAAGCAAGGCCTAGAAAACTCCCATGCAATGCATCTCAGGGGCATTAGGTTTGGCCAGAGGAACAGGCCTAACACTTCTAAAGCACCCACCAAAAACAGAGATACATCATGCATCAATCAATCTACATTTCTTCTTTAGAAAGGGTGCAAAACTAATGAAGGACGACAACTACATCGTATGCACAACGAGAAAGAAAATTTATCTTACAGTTTGGATGAGCCACCATTGATTGAACCCCGCAATACATCATAGTGTCCATAGCCGTGATACAGAACTCGGATGGGGTTTTCTTTACCATACTCTTGACCATATTCAGCTATGATTTTGAGGGAGCCATATTTACTGTCATTCTCATACATGTAAACTGTGATCGGCGTCCTAAACAATTCACAAATGAAAAAATATAAAATTTTTGATATATCCATAAATTTAAAAGTGTGTATTGACTTAATTGTATCCATGATATTTTCTGCATGAAATCTTAATTTTCATTTAATAGAAATAGTTGCATGTAATATTTAGTAGGGTCAAGGCTACCTTAGAAGATTGTTAGGAGAACATATGGACAAAGGTAAACTACTGATTTAAAATATAATGCAGATTTTTTACTTTTAATTTGTAAGTGTTCATAATAGATGGTAAACAAAAATAACATCCTCTTGGGGCAAAGTTCAAAGCAGAGAGATGAAAGGAAAGGAAAGAGAAAAACACACTTCAGAACATGTGAGCACATAAGCAGCTCAGGTTCACCTCCCCAAATATGTGGCTGCCTCATCCGCCCAACATATGCATCAAAATCACCCTCGACAAACCTGCCAAATGCATGAAGAAGATTTAGTTGCATGGATCCCTGAAAGCAGATACTCATCAAGAATTGGCAAACTTTGTCATCTGGTTACGGCCATAAATTTCTGATTAAGGATATTTTGTATGAAAAAGAAACAGCCGCAGCAGGAGATTGATTGCTCAAGTTTCAATTTTGATCAAATGATAAAGTTTGAGATACCTTTTCACAAATTTAGATGACCATACCTCCTTAATTGACAAAGCCCTTATAACATCACACAACATGAATGTCAATAATCAAAACCAAGAATCTCCCATTAAACTTACCATTCAGTGTCGGCTCGCCTCTTGATGAATTCATCTGCAACCTGTCCGGATCAATTAGGAAGAAAACTTAAAATAGAGTAAGATAATATGGAAATGAGAACATGGGTAAAAAAATATGTATGTGGAATCAGAACAAAGTTGAAAAGAAATTTAAAGTAGCAAAGGTAATGAATTCATTGGTCTCAAATAGGCAAAAAGTACAGAGCAGCAATAATAATTTAAAAAATTATCAAAATATTACGCAAGTAAACTCCCTCACAGCTAATAAAAACATTTACATAAAAAAAATTCATGTGCCATTGCCTGTACAAGCAAAATCTTAATAATTTTTCTCAACCTCAATGGCTATATGAACTTGTTCAGCAACATAAGATAATTAAAAGCTGAAGATTTTGTAAATAGCTCGAGCTGCTATATGAAATCGGGTCAGGGTACAGTACCTTCTGCCTCAGCTCATCAGCAAGTTCTTTCTGGAAGCTTTCATTTGGAGATTTCTTCCCGGCTCTAAGCGTAGCACCATGAACAACAGAGCGAAACAAACACCTGCCATCTCCTGGTATGCCTGTATTAAACAAACACAGACAAAACAAATGTAAATACATTCATTAGACAAATCAAAAAAACAGTGTTCCCAAGATTTCAAAAAAAATAAAAATAAAAATAAAAATCAGACCTGCCCCAGAATCCATATCAAGCAGAAAACTTTACCCACCAAAGATAAAAATCAAAGCGACCAATGCCACCAAGTCACAGAAAAGCATCACATCACATATTCACATTCAAGCAAAGAATCCAACACAAAACAAGAAAAGCATAAAAAAAAATGTATTTAAATTCTTCCTTCCTATTAACGAATTCGAGTCATTTACCTATTGAATACTCCGGCGTTGGCATTTTCTTTCTAAAACGTTTGAAAAAATGCAGATTCAAGCCATCGATGGACGCCAGTTCGCCGGCTCCGATTCCGACGCCGAAAATAAGAAAATTGAATGATTACCTGAGAATAACTTTTTGGTTCTGAGCCTGAAAGTCATCACCACACATTTCAGAGAAAGAGAATCTAAGTCATGTTCGATGCTTTCCCGTTTTCATACCAATTCCCCTTTTCATACAGATTTCTTTAGAAACCTAAATTTAGTAAATGCGTTGACTTAAAGGAATAATAAAGACGAAAAGTGTTCGATATAGGAATTGCATCCAACTTCGTAATACTAATTATTACATAAAATTTAGTCTTTTATTAAGTTTTTTTCTATAATAAATTTTATTTTATGAGATTAATGTTATCGAGCGAGATTTATTAAAAATTAGATTAAAAAATTTAAAAATTGCATTATTTTAATAAAATATAATAAAAATATTAAAATATTTTTATTTTTATCTCTACTTTAAAAATAATTAAAATTTTTTAAATTTTTTTAATAAAATATTATTAAAATGATATAATTTTAAAATATTTTTTATTTAATTTTTTATAACACAAGCTAATATTTACTTTTTTGTTATTTTATTGTCTAAAACTAAACTGTAAAATAAGTTCTTAATGAAAATAATTAAAAATTATGCTGATAAAATTATTCAAATATTTTAATTTTTCATAACCTCAAGCTAATTATTCAGGCTCTGTTGTTGTAATTTTTCATTTTGAGATTAAGGTTTTTAAAAATAAAAAACATACATTTATTTAATAGTTTTAAAATAATTTTGTTTTTATTTTTAATAATTATAATAATTTTTTATAAAAATATATAAAAATAAATACAACTTTTTATTTTAAAATAAAAAATTTATAAAAACTAAAATTATAATTTAAAAATCATGCTAATTACTTAAATAATTTAATAATAGTCCCACCTCAATAAAAATAAAAAAAAATTAAATTTAAATTATATAATATATAAATAAATTAAATTAAAAATAAAAAAGTTACCTTAAGCCAACTAAATTAAAAAAAAAAAAAAAAAAACTGCCGAATGGACATTTAATTCCCACATTTGTTAGGTGTCATTTTTGGGCTCACAACCGGGTGTAGCAATTGGGCCTTAGCAGATTGGGCCCGCGAACCGCCTGTAACCGCTATCCATGATATTCCCGCTAAAATTTATGAGAGCCGTTAGTTTACATCACCATTTTTTTTTTTTTTTTGAAATTTTTTTGGTTAATACTATTTTTAAAATTATAAATAAAAAGTATTTGAACCCTTGAATTTTCCTGGAATTATCTTAAAGATAAAGTTTTTTTTCTTCCCTTCTAATTTCTGGAAAGGGAGAACATTTTGCAGTGAAATTGAATTTCGCAAAATAATTTTCTTCAATGGTAGGATTTTTATAATCGAATTTATTATTCATTTCTTTCTAGATAATTCTGACAAATCTAAGTTTGGAGGCAAAAATTTTCTCGGAAAATTTCTGTTTTCATTTTTACTCGAATTTTTCATTTTCTTTGTTGGAATTTCAAAAAATTCTAATTTCTGCATTTGCAATTGCAATTCCTCTCCTCGGATTTCTTTATCTGTAAAATTGATTGAAGGGAATCAGTCCTGAGATTTGAAGTTTGAATTTGTTAGGAATCAACAGCGTTGAGCAGCGAAATGAGTTACAGACACCGCCATCCATTGGAGGCATGCGGAGTTTCATTCTTTGCCATTGCGCAAAAAGCGTTTGCAAAAGCGCAAGATCTGAACGGACCGTTTGGTTCGATGATGAAGAAGACCGCAAGATTAGCCGCAGGAGTTTCTCCTCTTCTCTGCACCCTGCAATACCAACTGTTAGCCGTGTTTGCCTTCGCCGATTATTATATCCTCGCCTTTGAAACCAAGGCCGAAACGATTTTCCCGCCGTCCAAACACATGTTCGACGAAATCGACAAGCTCGTCAAAACCGTAGAAACACTACCAGAAAATGTCGACAACGCCTTGAAAAAATTCCCGGTGATTACACAGCAAGTGCCATTGTTAGATTGGGTGTTGGTTCATATTATCTCCTGGCTGAATTTCTTGATTTCCATTCTAACACATTGGGATTCAAGTAGCACCAAGGAAAAAGAGATAGTAGTTGATAAAGGTTACAGCGAGCGCAAACATGATTCTGAACATCCGAAGAAAGGCTCGTCGATTCGGGTTCCAAAAGGTACGTACAAGGAAGTATTAGAGAAGGGGACGAAAAGGAAGGGGAGAGGAGGAGGGGATACCATTGTGAGGAATAGAGATGCTATGCTGGAATGGTTTGAGTCAGGATGGCTAATGAAATCGCCGAGCAAAGGCACAGAGAACAAGCTGTCGAGGTCGATTTCGTATACCTTTTAAAGAGATGGAAATGCAAGGCTGGGAAAGTAATGATATTAAAATTGAGGTGGATGAGGTAGATTTTCACATTATTTTCTTGACTTAGAACAAATTATTATTAGATATGTATGTTAATCATATCATATACATTCATGGGAGAAACAATATGTGGATATATTGGTGATATTATTGTAATCTTATGTATAGGTTCGGAAGAAATTTAAATTCTTTCTATACATAATTTTTTTATTTAAATTTTAAATTATATAATCTAATAGAAGATAATTATTTCATATCTTTATCCATCCTCTTCACATATTTATAACTTAAATTATTATATACTTGTAACTTAAACTAATATCTTTTACTTTTATTAAAAGGATATTAAAATTAAACTGTTTAAATTATTAATTATATATACAAAATTAATGAATCAATGAACTTTTAAATTAAAAATAAATGTGTTTATGAAATGTTTAGATTTAAACCTAGTAAATTAAGAAGTATGCCTCCAACCCCATAATAAATACATAAATAAAAGCCTAAAATTGCATTGGCGAGGGTTAACACTTATCAAACAGGCAAAAATACACTGGCCAACAGAACGCCCACCGTGGGGCTCGAACCCACGACCACAAGGTTAAGAGCCTTGCGCTCTACCGACTGAGCTAGACGGGCTTCTTAGAACCTTTTTCGCTGTTTCCCTTTTTGTCCATAAAACTTTTGTCATTGCATAATTTTATTTACAGTCATCAAAATTCAATGTTAATGAGTAAAATAAAAATATATATATTATGCTATTTAAATTATACAACTTAATTCATATTCAATAATTTTTATTTTACAATATAATTTAAAATATAAAATAAAAAATTCGAATAAAATATATTTATTTGAGATTATAGTTTATTGTTAAGACTATCTAAATTGACAAATCTTCAGTCTCATGATTAGCAAAGCTCATCTCTAATCTCATGGTGTTGATATTTTTGTAATGCGAACTAAGAAACACATTATTTTTAACAAAAAAGAGAACAAAATGTAACCCCTTAATTTTATATAGTTTTCTAGCAAGTAAAAGGCGCTATTTAGAAAAGTAAATGAAGAATTACTCTAATTCTTTTTATGATAATTGTCGAAATTTTATTAATTGGAATCTAAGGTATTGTTTGGATTGGAGGTGTCGGACAGAGAGGGAGGGGAAGGGATGGGGATGGATGGCAAGGGAGGGAGAGCGAGGTGAGCTGTCTCCTTCCTCCTGTTTGGGTTTCTAAAAAGGCAAAGGGGGAGGGAGATGGATTGATTCGGACTCCCTCCAACCACTCTCAAATCTACAGATTTACAATTCGCCCGATTTAAGAAGTTTGAGAGGGATTTGAGTGACTGTTTAGATTAAATTAAATGTAATTACAAAATTAACCTTAATTTTTTTATTATATCCTTCTCCATTACAAGTTTAAAGGATAAATTTATAAATTTAAAATTAATTTAAATCTTTCCCTTCCTTCCCTTCCTTTTACCTTAATTATCCAAACATAAAATAATACAATCTTTCCCTTCCTTTCCCCTTCCTCATTTTTATTTATCCAAACAAAATTAACACAAATCATTTCCTTCTATTTTCTTCCCTTCTCTTTCTTTTCCTCACGCCTTGTTTGGATAGAAAATAGTAAAGGGAAGGAAAGGGAGGGGAATGGAGGAAAATAAAAGGAAATGGAGGGGGAGGAAAAGAAAGGGAATGGAGGAAAATAAAAGGAAATGGAGGGGGAGGAAAAGAAAGGGAAGGAAAGAAAATAGAAGGAAATGATTTGTGTTAATTTTGTTTGGATAAATAAAAATGAAGAAGGGAAAGGGAATGGAAGAATTGTATTATTTTATATTTGGATAATTAAGGTAAAGGGAAAGAAAGGAAGGGAATGATTTAAATTAATTTTAAATTTACAAATTTATCCTTTACGCTTGTAATGAAGAAGGATATAATAAAAAAATTAAGGTTAATTTTGTAATTACATTTAACTTAATGTAAATAGTCACTCAAATCCCTCCCAAACTCCCCAAATCGGGCGGATTGCAAATCTGCAGATTTGAAAGGGGTTGAAAGGAGTCCAAATTAGTCCATCTCCCTCCTTCTCTGCCTCTTTGGAAACCCAAACAGGAGGAAGGAGACAGCCCTCCTCACTCCCCCTCCCTTGCCATCCGTCCCCATCCCTTCCCCTCCCTCTCCGTCCGACACCTCCAATCCAAACAATTATTTTCCTCCATTCCCCTCCCTTCCCTTCCCTTTACTATTTTCTTTACTATTTTCTATCCAAACAAGGGCTAAATCTCCCAGTAAGTTGCACGACCAATATCTCAAGTTAAAGGAGAATTACTTTAATACTAACAAACCAGAATTTCGAAAAGAAAAATTTAGAGAGGAAAAGGAAGAGCAACGTTTCTCCAAATCCAAATCCAACCTTTTTTTCCCCTTCTACCCATATACAGGAAAATGCCGGCTTTTGATTTTGACAGATTATTATACATGTATTCCTACAATGCTGTGGAAGGAAAAGACACCAAAAATCCATGGATTACAGGGCCTGTACATTTCTTCTCTATGAGAACGAAAAAATCAATAATGCCCCATGGGAACCGGACAGAAGAAAACAGAAGCTTAGATACAAAACAAAGGAAAATTTACAGTGGCAAGCGTGCTCAACACTGGTACACAGAATAGCTCTTACTCTTCCACAGGGAGCTGATAGCTTTTCCCATCTTCCACCTCGATGCTGATTTACATGGCGGCTTGGATTCTGGAGCAGGCGGTGTAGCAGCAGGTAAAGATTCTTGGTTGCTCTCAACATGCTGCTGCATATCAGCTGGGGACTGATCTCGCTGCCTCTGCTCCCGGAAGAGCATCAGAAGTTTCTGTGCCTTCTCTTTCCCCCTTGGTGTTCCATTTACTGACATTGATACTAAAACTGGTATAACTCCTTCTTGGAGGACCATTTGACTGCATTTCTCATTTCCGTTGCAAAGAATCAGAAGACATGAGACTGCTTGCTCCTGCTCGATTAGCTCACCAATGTCTAATACAAATGCCAGCGCACTTATGAGGCTGGGGGCTGATATCATCTCTTCTCTTCCTGTTTCACTTGAAGCTAAATTTAGCAAGACCGCAATGGATTTCTCCATCCAGGTGTGCTCACCAGAGAGCACAAGAGACTGGAGGCCATTGATGATGCCAGCAGAAAGAAGGTTTGGGATATTAGAGGGAACAGTTGAGAGGTTATAGAGGGCATGAAGGGCGTCAAGTTTGCACTGTGGTTCAGTATCACCTCCAAGGCGCTTGACTAGGAAAGGAACAGCATTAGTTGAGCCTATGATAGACTTTGCTTCTTCAAGGCATGATAGATTCAGATAGAGAGCAGTTGCTGATCCATGGGCATCAGAATTGGAGATCATTTGATCCAGCAATAGAGTTACTCCAGCCGCCAACATCAATTCTTTGTTCCTGCAGTCAAAAAATAGAAGCAATCAACAAAAGACTCAACTTCCCAAGAAAAAGAGTTGATAAATACTATCAACCCAGATCCTGTTCACATGGTTTAACAGTTCACTTGATTCATTAGAAAAAAAATGGGAGTTGTTGATTTGAAGACATAAGATTAGGTATTTGCTAAATGTCAAACAGCCATGTGAATAATGGTGTTAAGAATGGAAGGCAACAACACCTTTGTCCCTTCATTCTTTTATGTAATCATGGCTAAGAAAGAAAAGTAAATAGCAACCTTCTCTCCTAAGATAACATATCTTCAATGAAACTCACCACAGAATAAAGCTACTGCTTTAGATTAAATACAATGATCTTATGACATATGAAAATAAATTATTCAAAGCAATTACCAAACACAACTGTATTTACAGCACTAACAAAAAAGGCGAGTACTGAGTCACTGGCATGTTTTACAAGTGCCCAAATTTCCAATTGTCATCCTCACAAATATCTCACTTTCTTCTCAAATCCTTAGTAGGGCCATCAGAATAAGGAATAGTAGCTCTCCTTCTAAATAGTGTATTGAGCAGAGGCGGAGAATGTGGAAATCAATATATTGCAGCTTCCATAACAACAACAACAAAGAGAAACATTTTGTATGCTATAAGTTTACAGCACAGAATTGGTACGAACCTGTTATTATTGACAGCAAGGTTAAAAAGGGCCATGGCCCCAATTTCCTGAGCAATTTCATTCCTTTCATGCACACTTGACTCTAGAAAATGTAGCAATGCTTCAACAAAGCCATTAGCCCCCATAAAGATCCTGGCCTCTTCATCATCCTTCAGCATAAGCCTTATTTGTTCAACAACTTTGCATTTTTTTCTCAAGTTCTCTTCCTCATACAGGATAGTGATGAAATCTTTACATCTTTCTAACAAATTGTGCTCAGATTTTTCCTCTAGCACAGATTCATTTTCTGTTCCTTTTTCAACTTTCTCAATGGTGCTACCCTCCTCTAAAGGAACCACCTTCATCCCCTTTAAGTTGCAAGAACCAACACTATTCATTGATCTTGAATTTGCAGCCTCAGACTCAGATAAAGCCAGTCTCCAGTAGTTCAGATCAAGAGATTCTGGTGGACCTTCAGGTACGGGAACTCCATACTGTTCACACCAACTGGCAATGAGGCCTTTAACACAGTAGTTAGGAGTCAGAGAAAGATGTTGGAGCCTTTGTTGTGTTTTTGGACATGTGTTGTGCCCATCATTAAACCATTTCTCAATGCATATCCTTTCATATGTTTGTCCAGAAGCAATAATGACAGGATCATGCATAAGCTGCAATGATATTGGACACCTTAATTCCTCAGGTGGAAGTGGTATCTGCCCAGATTTCCTAATGATTGGCTTGAAATTGAAAGAGTTGAGCTTCGACAGCTGCCGCTCAAACACGTGACCATTTCCAGCAGAACACCCATCCTCATGAGAACCCTGCACGGTGGGGGAACAAGGTGTTGACCCCTGCGAATCATTTTCATCTGAAACCTCACTTCTAAATAACTTGGAGTATTTCCTCATGAGATGTAAAAGATAAGCAACAATTGATTCCTTTCTCTTATCTTCCTCTGCACGAGCTCTTTCAATCAGTTTCTTCAGAGCCCTTCTCTCTGTAAGTGCTGCCCTAGAAGAAGTAATGCCAAGTCTAGTAGCAGCCAGATGAAATGATTCAAGCTCATTGCTGTCATTTTGGTTGTCAAATTTTCTCCCCTGCTGCAGCAATGCAATTATTTCATCGCCAACTTGCTTCTCTGATGGATCAAGAGAGAAAACTTTACCTTCTAATTCACTAACAATCTCCAAAATCTGAAGGAAATTTAGTTACCACAGTTAGGAAGATGTGTTTAATATAGACAACAGTAACACCAAGAGAGATGACCAAACAATTCCAAAAGGAAAAATATAGTAATGCAGATAATTCTACATGATCAGAAGAAATTAAATAATCAACAAACATACAACATGATCTGGGGGGAAATGTCTTGTTTAATTAGGGTAACAAGGCATTAACCATTAAGGAATATAGACTGGAACAATCTGGAGAAGAGTCCCACAAAACACCAATACAAATTCAAAAATGCTAATAAACTCTGCATTCTGCAAATAATATACTTTTTGGTTTCCACTGCCCATTACATTACTGAAACAATTTTGGGAAAAGGTTGAGGGAAGATCATTACCGGAGATCCAACCGATTGTGGAACAATATCTTCAACCCTCCTAAGACTATCTATAAGAGCATATTTTGCCTTCTCGAATTTTAAAAGAACTGAATCTCCAGTTATGGCCTGCTCAATGAGAATAGCACCATTAATAAGCATTCTATACAAATGAAAATATTGTGAACAATAATGAAAATCCATGAGATGAATCTCCTGAATAAATGGAAAAGGTGTCCTGGAATATCACAGACACACACTGACAACTCTTACCAAGTAAAGTTTACTGCACTCACAACAGTGTTGAAGAATATTTTTGGACTTCTCAAGTGCTATATGCAATGAACATAATGCTTGAATGCCAGATTTGCTCCCAGGACGTGCTGCTTCCAAGGAAGGGAATATTGATAGAACTTTGCAATAAATTGCAGAGAGTGTCTTGCACATATATCCATGTAACTACATAAGAAAGAATTAATTAGTGATAGGTTCTATACACATCAAGCACATTTTGTTCTTTAGGGGAAGAAAAAAAACTAACAACACAGTAATTCTACAATCCTCTATGTCCAAGTCCAACAATTAGAAAACTTCAAACTGCAAAATGCAACCCTTAACAACTAAGCCCTGCCAAAATCCTATTGGCAAAAGCCTTAAATAAGGACACAAACTTACACCAGTTATGCAACTGAGAACACCATCTCTATTGGAGTACAATTAACGGAGTATAATTACGGACACCATCTACATAAATGGAAAATAAAGGCCAGTTTAATGGAACTGTGCATGTGCAGCCTGTGCATATTTACGTACTACACTACAACCATTACATCCACTTGTTGAAGACGAAGTAGATGACATTTTACCTAAATTCATAAATGCAATTTCCCACTCTCCTCTTCACCTTTCATGTTTTCTCTCAATGGAATAGGGTTTTCAGTTTTGATTTGGAGATTTTATGGGATAAAGGTGAACTACGTGATTACGCACGCGCAGCATGTACACAGTTTCATTGAATGTGTCATTATTTGCCACTTACATAGAGAGTGTCCTTAATTGTATTTAATAGAAGACAATATCCTCAATGGCATAATCGATGTAAGTTTGTCCTTATTTGAGACAAATGCCTATCCTATCTGCTAACTGCATCCGGTATTACATCTGTCAACATCTTCATTTCGGGAGGTAAAGTGAACTTTTAAAAAAAAATCCATGTTAATATAAGTACCATCATCCAAGGGGAAGCAAACCTAAAGCACCAATGCTTGTCCATGAAACAGCAGGACATCCCACCTCAGCAATAGCCCAATTCAAGGACAACAGACTGATCTTTTTGCTTCTCATAGTGCAAGTTTTGAAATCCTCAAAAAACGGATTACACTTTCATAATAAAGTGTTGTGTATAGTGACTAGTGAAAGGAAAGTGGAGCTGTTTTTGTTGGAGAAAGTAATAATTTAATAATTATGTCTCCATACAATAAGAAAGTCTGGTTCTGAGGCCAACCCAAAAACGTAAATTCCAATAACCCAAATCCAGATATCTTGTCCATACCTTAGCATCACTAGCTGCAAATAAGTTCTCTTCAACCTCAGTGATGTCCATTATTTACCATTCAGCACAGGAACCCAGTAAGATAAGAATCTATATAACTGAAAGAGAGAAAACAGTCAGAAACAGACAAGATACAATAAAAATTTTGAGAAATTCTCAAGGGAAACAAAAGGGAAAAGGGTAAATTTTATTTATAAATTTTAAGTTAAAATTTATTGCACTAGAAATTAATGGCTTTGACAACAACAAAAAGGAAAAGGGCAATTACGGATAATATTATAGTTCCATCAATAGGGCTGCAACAGTGAAACAAAACGCAGTCTCTGCTTGACCGTGTCAAAGACGAAATGAAGCGCGTAATAGACTCCTTCAATAAATAACATACAACATAAGATCTATAAAAAATTCTAAACCAAGATGTTTTGGGCTTCCCTATTAGTCTAAGTTGAAAAGTGGTAAAAAGACAACGACATCACACATCAGAAGAATTTTCATCAAAAGATTACACTTTCTTAACATCTAATTCTAGACCCACAAAGGGAATTTAAAGACAACCATATAGTAAAAATCAAAATACAGAAAGCACCAGGAAGAATCCAAGTAAATGAGATTGTAGAAGAGAAAAAAAAAGAGGAGTACATACACACGGAACATTTATCAGCATTTTCGAAGAGCGTAATGATCTGAACAAGGAAGCAGAAGATAAAAAAATGGCAAACCCAGGATTTGATTTCGACATTTCATCGAACATGAAAGACTCAAATCCAAAAACGGAATTTTTAACCAGAAAAACGAACACCCATCAGTGATGGTAACAGAAAACACAGGATTCTATTTAGACATCATATCGAAACAGCTAAAAATTCAAAATTCTGTAATCAAAAAGATACAATCACACAGGAAAAAAAGGAAATCCAAAGCAAAGTTCTTCGGAAATGACCTTCTGAGCTGAGATCTTAACCGAAACGAGACACACGAACTGCAGCTATCGATATTACAAAAAACAGGGGAAAAACGAGATTCCCACAAATAAAGCAACAACCCAAACTAAGAAACCGCGGAAAGTACTGATAAACCCGCGAAAATCCAACCAAAATGCGAAAAACAGAAAATCCCCAATGCTTATTAAAAACCCAAAAAAGAAAAAAAAAAATTTCGAGGTCTCTTTTATTTACAAGTCATGGAAGACTCAAATAACCCAAATAAATCTCAGCTAGGGTTTGCATCAAGAACGTACCGGAAATCATGGAACAAGCCAGGGAGGCTTCATAAAAGAGGATTTACAGTAAAATAGAGAGCCAAACGTGGAATTAAGATTGGAATGATTCCATCTCATCACAGTGAGACTTTGTCGTATCACAGAGCGAATTCGTCACAGTAGAGAAACGGTGGTGTTTGTCCA